TATATATATATATATAAACATTTCCGTCTGGACACAGCGGTGCCTTGATTATATGTGGTCACATGACACATCACAGTCCACAGTGAAAGAAAAGAAGAAAAACTTGGTTAAAGCTGCGGAAATCTGTTTAAATCTGACATGTGAAGGTTCCCTCACCACAATGGAACAAAAATATTTTTAAACTGAAAAAGTGATGTGATGTTGAAACTGACTGGGAAAAAAGAAGTTGTCCAAATATTCACACAGTGGAAGTAAGAATAATAGCGTTGGTCAATTGTTACCACAGTTTGCATGTTAGTCAGCTGGCATGTTCGACCTTTGTAGCATTCCAACTGTAAACGTATGAACCGTGAGGTTGACCTGAGGATGGTGGTGGTAACGTGTGGCTGTTCTCCTCCACAGCCACCATGATGTCAGGAGTGACATCAGCCTCAGGAGTCCAGGTGATCGACTCTCCTCTGCTGACTCGGCAGATCCAAGCTCAGAGACTTTGCATCAAACAACTGAAGAACGAGAACAACAGGCTAAAGGTACTGCTCAGAACAACACAGACACACACAAAATCACCAACATTTGGTGGAGTTTTTTGGAATTCTCAGTGAGGACCTGAAAAATGTCCTCACTATAGAATCTTTTACAAAAAGGTACCCACAAGTATGGTTGCACCAGAAACACTGTTTTTTTTTACACACTCAGAATAGGAGAAACAAACACTGTGCTACTGTTTTCTATGAATGTAACATGAAGTTTGTCTTAAATAGTTAAGATATTAAGAAGTAATTGAGTGATTGAATCAGAACCTTTCTAGTCTGTGTCACGTGACCTTATTATTTCCCACTGCTTCAGGCTGAGAAGATGAGAGCTCAGCTCTCCTCTCTGCCTCCGCTCCACGTGACCAAACTTCCTTCTAGAGATGGACGTCCTGAAGTTCTCTCCAGCGCCCTCTACCGCAAAACTAACCAGCTTCTGGAGACTCTGCTGCAGATGAGTGCTAACGTCAAGGTTGTGGACATCACTGGGAAATCTCCAGGTAAGGACAATATCATTTTAGTCATTTTTGAGA